AGTTAACTGCTCATCTCCAGTATTAAAAATGGTCCTGCTCAACCTCCCTCGCCTGCCTTCTCTTTAGTCAATTCTACAAGAAAGACTTAGGAGACAGATCCATGTTTTAGCATTTTATTGTGAATTGTTTGGATTAATATAAGTTTAGTTACTTTCCTTTCATAAAGTCCTATCCATCCATAATGCAGGTCACTGGTAGATCCTACCTAAAGACTAAGGCAGGGCAACACTAACCCTGCACTGGAGACCAAGTCAACCTGGTAGATTGTTTAGATAAACCTATATATAGCATACTTGGTTTGTTCTAAGCTGAAGGGATAATTAGTGACTTACAATTGAGGAGGTATTCAGTGATTCAACAAGAAGCGACAATACATACAAAATGTGCTAGTTATACAAAGAAACTTGTTTGCTCTCAGAGAATTTCAGTAGTATCTGGATGCAGCCTTTATAATGCAAGCTAAGATTGGATCACTCAGCTATGCAATGTCAGACACAATGCACTCAATGGAGTGAGTGACGTCACTGTGATGAGTAGGGTTAGGAGTTGGGTTAGGTGAGCGCATTAAAAAGCATTGGATGCAGCTCAGTGTAACCAGGGATATGACACTGACAACAGAAGTGCAGATCCACATGCAGGTTTATTAGCGAGATCAGGCAAGCAGTGGTCAATATAGGGGCAAACAGATGTATAAGGGCAATCCAGGATCGTAGTCAAAATAACAGGCAGATGGTCACAAGGCAGGCAGCAAACAGGATTAAACAAATAAACAAGGCCAGGACCAAAAAACCACAAAGGAAAATGCGCTGTAGTGTCACTAAAACAGTAGACAGAGCTCAGCCACAACTGTGTGTTTGAGAGGTGTTCTTATAGTCCAAGTAATTTGTCTGTGAGCAGCTTCAGCTGTGAGAGTGCAATCAGTCAGGGTCTGGAACATGTGTTTGTGAGCGGTGTAAGAAATTAGCTCAGTTTATGAATATTAATAATCAACAATAACGGTTTATTCTTAATTATTAATATTCCGGCTTAACCTTCGGTCAATTTGGTTAAACAAACATATAATTGTATATGATCCTTCCCGCTCGGCCGAGTGGACTCTCAGATTATGAATATTAATTATCAACAATAACGAATTATTATTAATCACTAACATTCTGGATTAATTTATTGTTTATTTGACTAAATAAACATAACCAGAACCGCTCTTCCGAGCGGACTCGATTATGGTCTATTCATTTAGAAAAGGGAATTATTAGTACTTCTTGTGAAGTAGATTAATCATTCATAAGTTTTGATCAACTTATAACAGCTAGGCAGGGGAATCTATCTTTCAGTGACTTTTTCTGTGAGGCAAACAATACAATCCACTTGATTATAATGAGATTTATTGACTAGTCTGACATATAACGAACCAACGCACAAACATAACATAAAACATAGAACAAAGGTATACTGCATGTGGATAGGCGAGTCTATAGAACATTTAACAAACAGAAAGAAACAGAAAAGCAAAGAAATAGAGGGTTTAGATAAAGGGTGGCAAATTTACTTCAGTTTCACACACTATTGAGGATCACCAAGATTATGAGAAACACTTTTTTGATAAATGGGGCACGGCTTACTCGCATAACTAAAATACCTGGAGTTTAGGGTTGCGGTCTCTCTCTCTTTTCGAGTTTCTTCCATTGTGATGAGAGTCCTTTGATGTCCTTTCTTGATGCGTGGAGTTTGCAATACAGGTCGGAGGAACGCGATCGCAACTTTAAACTGAGTTTACTTTGCCGGAAAAATAAGAAAACGTGGGCTCGGAGCGCCACGCGGGCACAGAAGAGCCTGGATCCCTTAAAGGAGCGACCTTTTGGGAAGTTCTTTTTCGGACGTTCTGTGTCGAGTTTGAGGAGGGGCCAGCTTTCACATGTGGGCTCCGTTACACGCCCTGTCAACATGCTCGACCAATGATTTCAGGGCAAAGTTTGTGCGCGAAACTTCTCTTTGTCTCTAGCTGCTCATTTGCAAATTTGAGTGTCCGCCCAAAGCATGTGGAGAGGCATTAATTCAGAGCATTAAATAATGTAAGCCATGGTGATTATGAATATGCGCTACGCCTCATGTGTTGTAAAATTGTGTAAGCTGAGTTTCGATACCACACATGATACCCTTAGGATTACATAGGCTTGGTTTACACATTCTGACAATAATGATTATTCTTGACAAGGCATATAAACTATATGAGGGGTTTTACAGGTAAGGAAAGTCATAAATGAGATACAAAGTTTACAAAACATAACAATTTTTGGCTGATCCAGGATTTCTGAGTCCAATTTCTTTCTGTCGTGTGTGGGTGTGTGTGTGTGTGTGTGTGTTTGTAAGAAGGGGGGGGCGGAATGTCTTTGAAGTCCTAGTCCACCTTTTCTGGCAAAACTCTAGAATAAGGGAGATGTCACTTGGATACCCAGACTTTGTGGCACCAGGAGTCGTAAAACCCACACCAGAGACTCCTTAATAAAATCAATAAGTAATTTTATCTATGGAATGTACGCTACAGCGGAGTGTATGTATGGAGTTGTAGTCAATGAAATGGTGGATTTGTAGTCCGTTAACACTTGTGAGGGTTTTCCAGCCATATATGGTGTTTTAGATCTCTGGTGATCGTAACACTCAGATTGCACTGCACCAGGTCTGCATCCAGACCCCTCTCTAGAATTAAGTGCTTGAATGGGAGTGTTTTTTCTTTTTAGAGAGTTGGGGCAAGAAAGTAAGAAAGTGCTTCTACAGAGGGTTTTGGTTTTATTCACCGGAGTTTAGGTGTTTTGGGAAAAGATGGGTTTTTAGTTGTCGCTTGAAGCTTGAAGTAGTAGGGAATCTGCAGTCTGAGTGGACATGGGAAAGATCATTCCACATGTGTGAAGCATTTTGGATGCTCTCTCTCTTGACCTGAGTGCTGTCATCAGACAGAACATCAGACAGCCAGGGGTTAGAGGTAGTAGGGCACAATGACCTGGTAGAGAAATTGAAATTGAGTGTTAACATCAAGCAGTGAGAACTGGGTGTGAGAGGGAAGTGAGGATAAGACAGTAGAGTAAAAATGTGTGGACAGAGAGAGCAGATTGCATCTAAAAGAGACAGGTTGGGAGGGAGGCTGTGCAATTGTGTAAAGCATTAAGCCAAAGGTAATGCTGAAATAGTCTGAGGTGTGCAATGACTTAACTAACTTTATCTGAAGAGCAATGTCTTGTGTAGATAAGGGTAAGTTAACTGTCTGATTTATGTGTGTCTGTGGTAGTAAGCTGGTTGAGGTTTAATGATGTCATGAGAGAATAGAAGTCTTAGCATATGGTTTGATTAAGTGATTGTTGAAGTCACCTTATACTACAAATATGCTGTCATCCTCAGGGAACCTGGACTGAGCCCATACAATTCTTATCCCTCACTTTTAGATAGAAAAGTGATAATGAATGCATGGCATTCAAAAGTGCAATTATTGGTAAAGAATAGTTTGAGTTTTTCCAATTGTGAAAATACGTGATGTGATGTCTTGCTGATATAACTTTAGATCCAGCAGGAAAAGAGATGAGAGTCTTGATTAGCTGAGGTCAGTGAGAGAGAGTCCTGGCATGCTGAGGTGAGCAAGAGAGAGAGTCTGAGGTGAGCAAGTAAGAAAATGCTCAGATGGGCTGAAATGAGGCTGAAAGAAGAGCCCTGATGAGCTGAGGTGAGCGTGAGAGAGAACAGTCCGACGGGCTGAAGCAATCGAGAGACCGTGCCCCGAAAAACTGAGGTGAGCAAGTGAGTGGGAGCTCTCCGATGGGCTGAGGTGAGCGTGTTGGTGCCCTAGCTGGCTGGGAGTTAGGACTATTGTAAGGGCCCATGCCATTTTGGGGCCCACAGAGTTACTTAGGGGCCCAATTAAATTCTGCTTTTGCCTCTGGCTCTTGAGAGGGATGGCCCATTTGAAGCAATGCAATCTATGAAGCAATGCAATCTATATCTATCTAGAGGATTTGTGTCTGGCATTTGTAATGGTCTAAAAGAAAATCATGTGGAGATTTTTTTGCCATTGATAACATAGGCAAAACAAGTTAATTTATGTTCACTCAAAAGCCACTAGGATGTGGTTTGTGCTGCCCTTTCGCAACAGTGCCTTAGTATAAAAAAAAAGCTACTGACACAATGTTACCAAAATTGAAGGGAAATGTATTTTTGAACATTATAGGCTATTACAGTCAACATGGAGCTCTGTCCTCTCAGCCAATTACAATTTCTAAAAACTTGTTTGTTACTGTCTGCCCTGATTTAAGAGGTCATTTACAATGTCTAAAGGTTGTACAAGTTATCTGATCTGATGTGTTGCTTTTAAAATCTTGCTGAATTTGCTATTGAGAATTACAAAAAAAAGATTTACATATATTGCCAGACAAAATACTTGGTGTTATTTAAACTATATATTTTTCAAGACACTGTCCATTAAATAAAATGGTTTTGATGTAAAAAGTCTCCATGGTGAAGCACAAAGTGGCTTGCCATGATAAACCAACGATCTAAAGCAAAGTACAAAACAGCTGATTATTTTGTAGACATAAATGTGGCCCCACATTGACTGCACCAATGAGAGATTTATTATTGAAATTGTATTGCTCTTAAAAATCAGTTCATTGTGTTGTTTGGTCAGAAATATTCAGACTGCCAAAAATTGTTATTGCAGAGCAAACTGGTCAACATCATGGACAAAATAACAAGATTACAGGACAAAATAAACCTTCAGGAATATCTTTTATCAGGAGTACATGCTGACATTGACCTATAGTGAAAGTATCATTATCTATCCACCCTGGTTTTTAAACTTAGCTTACCTTTTCACCTGTACAGTCTACATTTCTAGTTCAACAAAGTTTATAAAGGTCAGCAAAATTGAAAGGAGGAGATTTGTGTGCATGCGTATCAGTTCTCTGTTTGTATTAAATACCAGAGTTCAATCTCACCATCTACTAGAACAGTAACCATGTTGACTGCACTGGTTTTGTTGTGTCTAGGAGCCTTTCTTCTGTACTTGCAAGTGAGAATTCGGCGACCCAAAGACTTTCCTCCTGGACCTGCACCTGTTCCATTTTTTGGTAATTTGCTACAACTGAACCGCATAAACCCAATAAAAGACTTAGACAAGGTAAGTGCATCAGAGCACCTCAAACACAATGAAAACTACAGAATTTAAAATAAGAAATGCATCCAAACATAAAACTTGTTTTTCTGCAGTTTGCTCAGCACTATGGATCAATCTACGGGATATACATTGGTTCAAAGCCAGCAGTGGTGTTAACAGGACAGAAAATGATCAAGGAGGCACTGATCACACAAGCGGCTGAGTTTGCTGGCAGACCAAACCATATGATGATCAGTCATATAACAAGGAGCAAAGGTAGTGCATAATGAAAACAGCAGCTAACATATACTCACACGTGCACTGAGTGAGGTATTTTAACAAAAATATATTAACAAACTTCTGTTCTGTTATGTTGTTATTCTGTTCTGTTCTTCTGTTCAAACTGCTAGGATTTGATGGCTTTCAAATTATATTTTTTGTGAGTTTAGGGGTGATCATGGCAGATTATGGAGAAAGTTGGCGTGAACATCGTCGCTTTGCTCTGACCACACTGAGGAACTTCGGTCTTGGAAAGAAAAGTATGGAGCAGAGGATTCTGGAAGAGGTCAAACATATCTGTTTAATACTGGAGGAATCTGCTGGTACATATGACCACTTGTATCTTTTTACACTCAACAACAATATAGTTGTTGGTTTTGCTTCCATTTACTATGAGTTGAACTTTTTGTAAACAAAATGCTTATTTCTCTCAATTATTGTTTACACATTTATCTAAATCTGTATTAGTTAGCACTTGTGTGCAGGTGTGTCTTGTCCATCTAGTGTGGCTGTCCATCTTCTTTGCATAGAGTAGATTGTTGATAAAGGCCTCTAGAATGTCACTCCACTCCTCTTCAATATCTGAGCAAAGTTGCTGGATATTGGCAGGAGCTAGAACACACTTGTCGTATAAGTTGATCTAGATCAACCCCAAGCATGTTCAATGGGTGACATGCCCAGTGAGCATTTATGGGATGTTTTCAGCTTCCCAGAATTGTGTAGAGATCCTTGCAACCTCGGGCTGTGTATTATTATGCTGCAATATGAGGTGATGTTTGTGGATGAATGGCAAAACAATGGGCCTCTGGATCTCATCACGTTTTTTTTTTTTTTGTGCATTCAAATAGCCATCAGTTACATGAAGTTGTGTTCATGGTCCATAACATGTTTCCCCATGCATAACATCATCCACCACCATGGGTTGCTTTATTCAAAATATTGACATCACTAAACCCATCACCCATACAATACCATTCACACTGACTGCCATCTGCTCAGTCCTGCAGTCAGCACTTGCTTCGGCAATATCCTGTTTGATAAAATGCACATCTTAGAGTGGCCTTTTATTGTGGCCAGCCTAAAGCACACATGCAATAATCATGCTGTCTAATCAGCCACACCTGTGAGGTGAATGGATTATCTCAGCAATGAAGATGTGCTCAGATAACACCGATTTTGACAAATGTGTGAACGATATTACGAAGAAATTTTTTTTTGTCCACATAAAAACTTAGCAATCTTCAGTTCAGCTCTTTGCAAATGTAATGTGTATTCTGTAAGGTAATGTGCATTTATATAGCACATTTGTTGTGTATGGCCATACATCCAAAGCGCTTCACAGTCATAAGGGGGTTTTCCCCACCAGTGTGCAGCATCCACTTGGATTGTGCAATGGCAGCCACAGGACAACGACACCAGTGGTCTTACAGTACCACACACCAGCTTTTGTTGGAGTGGAGAGACTGTAATAGAGCCAATACAGTGAATGGGGATGATTGGGAGGCCTTGCTGGGTAAGGGCTAATGATGGAATTTGGCCAGGACACCTACGTTACCCCCTGCTTTTTTATGAGGAGTGCCATGGAATTTTAAATGACCAAAGAGTCAGGACCTTGGTTTAATATCTCATCCAAAAGATGGTGCTCACTGACAGTATAGCATCCACTTCACTATTCACCTTATTCTCAGCTGACGAGCGGGCGCTGCCATATGAATCTTTTTGTCTCGCGACTTCCGGTCACATTCACTTCCATTCATTTTTTGACGTTAACAACTGCTCGTTACGCTACTTGATGTTGCAATTTAATATTTTCTTATTATATTATGCTACTTGGTCTGTGTAGTCATGCAAACATTTGTTTGTTGAGCAAGTAGTTTGGCCATTTTCTGCCGTTTATTATTCCTAGTCATTTCTCCCATAGGCGACTGAATCGGAAGTTCTAAGACAATCGCGAAGACAGGCGCACTTCCGCATTTTAGAATAAGGTCAATACTGGGACTTTTAGGACTCACACAGACTGCAAGTTGAGTGCCCCCTGTTGGCTTCACTAACACCTCTTCCAAAATGGGAGCAAAAACAAAAGTGTTGCATTTATATTTTTGTTGAATGTGTTAATGTAACATTTATCATGCAGGGTCATATTCATTGTACAATATTTGAAGTTTTTTTAGGATGTCAAAATTGCTAGAAAGCATTCAAACTCAAAAATAAAAACATCTCATATTTCTTCTGTTTCCAGGAAAGTCAATTGACCCTCAACATCTGTATCACCAAGCTGCCTCTAACATCATTGCCTCAGTCATTTTTGGGTCACGATTTAATTACAAGGATGAATATTTTCAGACATTGATACAAACCATGGAAAAACTTACTAAAATTGCCATTGGAACATGGGCAATGGTAAATACAAAGAAAAATATATCCAGTGTTATATCAAGACTGTTTTCACCATCTTAACTCACCAATATTGAAATACTTTGTTTACACTGGGTGTAAATAAGTACTGCCAAACATTATTGATAAATAATACATACATAGATTGTACAATACTGGAAAATGTATTGATATTTATTTCATTAAAAAAACAGAAACAAACATTTTTATCTTGTACTGCAGCTCTATGAAATAGCACCAGTGTTGAGGATTTTCCCACTGCCATTCTGGAAAGCTTTTCACTATTTTGAGAAAATCACAAGACATAGTCTTAAAGTTGTGGAGGAACACAAGAAGTCATTTGTTGCTGGAGAGCCCAAAGACTTGATTGATTGTTATTTGGAGGAGATGAAGAAGGTAAGTCCCTTAAAGGGTGTTTGTGCGTCCTCATGTAATTTTATTACATTTATTGATTACAAACTTTATTTTGATTATTAGAGAGCAGATCAACGCACCACATTTGATGAGGCCCAAATGGTCACTTTGCTGTTTGACCTGTTTTTGGCTGGAACTGAAACAACCTCTAACACACTCCGCACTTTAACTCTATTTGATGACTCATACTCATATACAAGGTAAGGAAAGTATCACTATACTATTGTATCAAAATGAATTATCTGTTAACTAAAGTTCATTCAGTATATATACTTTACTTTATACTTTATCTGCAGACTGTTTGAGGATATTCACATCCTAATCAGGTGAACGCTGTAGGAATTACAACGGTTTGCATATGTGACTCCCACTTGTTAAGGAATTAAGAGTAATGGGATAGAATAATAATCATAAATCAAACTTTCACTTGTTAATACTTGATTGCAAATTCTTTGCAGTCATTTACAGCCTGAAGTCTTGAACGCATAGACATCACCAGATGCTGGGTTTCATACCTGCTCTGCCAGGCCTTTAGAACAGCTGTCTTCAGTTCCTGCTTGTTCTTGGGGCATTTTTCCCTTTCGTTTTTTCATCGCCAAGTCAAAAGTATGCTTAACTGGAAACAGATTAGGGGATTGACTTGGCCATTGCATAATATTCCACTTCTTTCCTTTCAAAAACTCTTTGGTTGCTTTTGCAGTGTGCTTTGGGTCATTGTCCATCTGCACATTGAAGCACCGTTCAATGAGTTCTGAACTATTTCGGTTGATGTGAGCAGAAAATGTTGCCTGAAACACTTCAGAATTCATCCGGCTGCTTTTGTCAGCAGTCACATCATCAATAAATACAAGAGAACCAGTTCCACACCATGACACTACCACCACCATGCTTCACTGCTTAGGATCACAAGCAGTTCCTTTACTTTTCCATACTTTTCTCTTCACATTACTCTGGTACAAGTAGATCTTGCTCTCATCTGTTCGTAAGATGTTGTTCCAGCACTGTGAAGGCTATTTTAGAACTCTAATCTGGCCTTCCTGTTTTTGAGGCTCTCCAATGGTTTACATCTTATGGTGAAACCTCTGCATTCACTCTGGTGTAGTCTTCTCTTGATAGTTGACCTACCTCCAGGAGAGTGTTGTTGATCTGGCCAACTTTTGTGAAGGGTGTTTTCTTCACCAGGGAAAAAATTCTTCAGTCGTCCACCACAGTTGTTTTCAGGGTCTTTCTGGTCTTTTTATGTTGCTGAGAGTTCACTGGTGGTTTTTTTTTAAAAGAATGTTCTAGACAGTTGTTTTGGCCATGCCTAACGTTTTTGCTATCTCTCTGATTATTTTGTTTTTTTCAGCCCAATTGATGGCTTGCTTGCCTGATAGTGACAGCTCTTTAGATCTCAACTTAAGAGTTGAAAGCAACAGATTACAATTGCAAATAGCTCACTTGAAAAAAACTCTGGACCTTCTATCTGCTCATTGTTTTTGGGATAATGAGGAAATAACACACACCTGGCCATGAAGCAGCTGAGGAGCCAATTGTCAAATTACTTTTGGTCCCTTAACAAGTGGGAGGCACATTTGCAAACTGTTGTAATTCCTACAGCGTTCACCTTATTTGGATGTAAATAACCTCAAATCAAAGCTGATAGTCTGCAGTTAAAGCACATCTTTAATTCATTTCAAATTTAATGTGTTGGTGTGTAGAGCCAAAAATGTCATGGTTTTAGGAGGGGGAAGGACAAGGGCTCAAGTGCTGAAACTTAAATGGTTTTATTACTAATAAAAATAACACAAAAAAAGAACTAAAACAAATCCGAGGGGGAACATTAAAAAACAAACAAACTTGACTGGAAAGGCTGGCAGGGATCAGCGCTGGAGAGAGTTGGGCATGACAGGACAAGGCAATAATTGACAACGAACTGTCACAGGACAGCAGAATTGAGGAGAATACAAATGAGAAATAATTAACAAACATACAAACAGGTGAACTGAATAAACTAATAATGGGTTAACAAGAAGGGTGGGACTAGACAATAGACTTGAGCACATGACACAGTGACAACACAAGCCATGTGCTCACTAGAAAAACAAGACTAGAACACACAGCCAATGAGAGAACTCATTAACCGCGTGTTCACATGAACATGACACTAAAGCATGTGGCACATGTAAATATGCACCACGTGCTAAACACCAACAGAAGACTGAACACAAGACACGAGTACACAATAAATAAAAACACTCACCATATACTCACACATGCAACGTGCATGTTCCATCCCAGCACTTTCTGAAACTGAAACCAACAAGATGTTGAGAACAATACGGCATGCTGCAGACAGAACAAACTCAAACACCAGGACGACCAGCACATTCCAAGCACACACAGACCTCGCGCACCCACACCACTACAATGACAAGTACAATGACACAACATACTAGACAAGACATGACTAATGTCTAGACTTTGCCACCAAAACAAAAATTAACGACAAAAATGCCAGAATCCTGACAACACATATATATATACACTACTCACAATAAGTCATAGATATATAAACTAGATATCGCATAGGGGCCCTGAGCATGTGTCAATAGCGCCGCCACATTGGTACAGTGCTCCCAGGACAAATGTCATTCAACAGCACTAGTCAAGACAATTTTATTACATGAAGATGCGCGACTTTATCGCTGTCTGCAGGTGTAGTAACAAGCAAACAAAGAAAACAAAGCACAAAGGCAGAACATTTCATAGTTGGGATCAAGTTTTTTACGTTTTTGTATGTTCTGAATTTTTGTGCTAAACAGGTAACGTTATTGATGATAATACAGTCACTTACTGCATTTACCATAAGGCAAAGCAGCTCCAACTCGACACTAAATACTCGGCTTATGCTAGTTTTGTTAAATAAAATCAGCAAACAATGCAAAAGAAATATGATAACGAGATGCTGTGGTGCCAGAAACTTGTATTATTGTCGGCTAGTGAAGGAGTCGTTCATAACGGACATTCATTCACAAACGAATCACTCCCTCTGTCAGTTTGAGAAGTGAAAGCAAGAGAGGGGCTGTGTTTCAGGACTCGAAGTAGATCAAATTTAACACTGAGGGTAGATAGTACATTTCCGAACAAACAAACACAAGCTTTTTGTCAGGAATGCCAATGCGATCACTGATCCATCAATGTAGAAAAGTGATGTAAAATTATAATTTTCGTAATTAAAAAAAAAAATTTGCATACTAACATCCAGGAAAACTCCCGATCATAGATATATGTGTATATCTCTGGCTTTGGATGGCCACAGTCCTCCATTGCACCTTGGTCCCACATTCATTTCAAAGGAGCGCTACCCTGTTCCAAAATGGCGGCTCTATTAACGCATTCCTTACAATAGACAACAACAAGGTAGGCGACATCTAATGTATATATCGATGACAATTAGTTAGGGATATTGTGAGAGACAGTGAGCATCATACATACAGTGATTGTTTCACTTCACACATTTTTGGCATAGGGGGGCAATTGTATTGGGATGATAGACATACCTTATTTTATGTTTTTGTGTCATATAATGGTCTTATTGTGTACAAGTGTGCCAATACCTAAAGACACCCCTTTTCAATGTGGCATCAATTTCAACATTCTGTGGGTATAAAAAGCTGGTATTGTCAGCAAGTCATTCCAAGTTCATCATTCAAACAGCCAGTATCTAAGGACTTATGCACTCAGACATCGTTATGCAACTGCCACACAGCTGCAGGCCCGTTTAAGAAATGTGAGGGGTACTAGGGTTTCCAGACGAACCATTCGCAACAACTTCACTGCTTTGGCTTGAATGCCAGACGACTATTGCAGGTGACTCCACTGACACCAAGACATCGCTGTGAACGTTTGCAGTGGGCACAAGACATTGTGACCTGTGGTCTACCGTCCTGGTCAATGATCAGTGTCGGGTCACCTTTCAGGGAAATGATGGTCATCAGCGTTGCTGGAAAAGGCCAACGCTGCATCCCAAATCGCATACTTATGCACAATTCTACGCCATTTTGTAATATAAATAGTGTAAGTAGTGTGTTCACACTGAAAAGTCTAAAAATCATAAGTGCACTTAAATTATCCTGATGATGCACTCATTCAGCCGGTAAAACGAAGTGTGTAACGGTGGACACTTCATGCACTGAACGACCGCAGGTTTGCTTATGTAGCGGAAGGGGCGGAGCTGTCGGGTGCACATGTTGGATAACTTTATTTATTTTGGATGGTGAAAGCTAAAGTCTCCTATGAGAGTGATTATAGTGCCTCCCGATGGTGAATGCGGTTATACTCACGGCAGGTATTATCTAATAATTCGGTCGTTTATTTCACAAATTTGGCAACCGTCAAACGTCATCAGGGAAACGGTTTGAATTTCCGCTTAGTAAAAAAAACATTAGTGTGCCATTTGGGATGACACTACATACATATACAATCCTGCTGAGTGTGTAAGTGCTTAAGTACATAGTGCATGAGTACATAGTGTATAGTGTGGCATTTGGGACGCAGCTCAAGTGAGAGATACACTGAGATCAACATGGATCCCAGGGAAGAGGTGCAACAGCCTGGGCAGGCATCACCAATCAGCGCAAAGCAGATTTGATTATTGTAGATGGCTCAGTCACTGCACGTTCTTACATCAGAGACATCATACAACCCATCATCATCCTCCAATTCTGCCAGCACACCCCCAATTTTCTGTCTTTGTAGCAGAATTGTCACAGCTCGACTTCAGAAAGTTGGAGTTCCTCATATGGTATGGCCATCAATGTAGAGTCTGTGTGATCGTACCCCACCCCGATGTGCCCTACAAAACTACATTTAGCACTTGTGGAAGAGTGGAACACATTGCCTCAGAACAACATCATGAGGCTAGAGAGGAGCATGAGACGTCGCTGTTAAGCCATCATTGCGGCAAATGGTGGAAACACCTATAACTGACATTGTCATTTTTTGTTATTTGGGGCTATCCTTGTTATTGTCAAATTTTTTTGGGTAATGAATATTAAACTAATGAAAATTGTGTTTCTTCTCATACATTATTAGTAATATCAAAGGAAACTTTTACTTATTTCATTAAAATTCAGAGCAAATAGGAAAAGCACTCATGTAAATAACAATATCCCTAACTTATTGTGAGTAGTGTATATATTAACCTATATATTAATTGAAGTCAGAATGATTAAATCCCCTGAATTATTAGCTGTTTATTTTTCCCCCAATTTCTGTTTAACAGAGAGAAGATTTTTTCAACACATTTCTAAACATAATAGTTTAATTAATATATAAATATATATATATATATATATATATATATATATATATATATATATATATATATATATATATATATTGGTGTACATTAAAATTTGGTATGAAATTGATTAAAATTGATTAAATGTTTTTCTGATATACGTATTTGTCTTCAGAGCAATGTCAGCGGGAGATCGATGAAGTCCTTGGTGCTCGTGATCATGTCACATATGAGGACAGAAACGACATGCATTTTGTTCAAGCAGTGATTCATGAGGGTCAGCGTGTTGCTGATATTGTTCCTCTCAATGTTTTTCACACTGCCAGAACAGACACTCAACTCCGAGGCTACAGCATCCCAAAGGTAAGATTTAATGTTGTGTAAGTGCAAAATTTTAATAAATCTTAAAAAATGTATTTTTAAAATTAATTGTTATTAATTAATTATCCACACTGTTATTCCAGAGAACAAAACATTATAGCAATTTATAATAATGTAATTTAATGCAATGTGTTACATTACATTACATTTAATTTATAGTAAATTCTAAGTTTTTAGTTGCTATAGTAACACAACAACTATAGTAATATACACAAATTAGCCATACTGTTTTTTTTTTTCAACACAGGCTCATTCTGGACATTTCTGGAGACAGCAAATTATGTAGCCGGAGGTACATATGGCTGTATTTAAAATTTTAAACAAACACTATGGGGTGGTATGACGCTGATCCTTTTCAACCTTACCGTTTGACTGCTTACCTCCATGTAGAGGGCTTTAACAGTACAATCAGTTTGTCCAGTTAGCTCGTCGTGTATGATGACGGGGTATGAGTTCGGGGAGGAGCGGTTCCAGAATTCAGGTTATACAAAAACAAAATCTAAAAAATAAAATGAATGAGTGTATAACAGGGTGAGAATGGGGTAAAATCCGGAAACTTGGCAAAAATCAGACAAGGGCTTTTCTTTTTCTGGACAGCTTTTGTAAATTGTCGGTTGGGTTTAGGGAAGTAAGTGGGTTGGCAGGTCAATCGATAAAATTGGTTGGGTTTAGGGACAGACGGTCGGTCGACAGCGGCCTCTGCTGGGTTTATGCGAGAACAGCGGGTGCGAACAGCACTCGCGAGAGAAATTTGAGATACAAAAATTACACACACAGCGACCTCTCGAGGATTCCGGAAAACAAAAACTGCAAAAATATGTACCTCCCGGGATGCATTTTGCAGTCTCCAGAAACGTCCACGGGACTACATTTTCAGAATAAGCCTGGGTTGGTTGTTTTCTACGGGATGTGAATCATGACAATTATAGCTAATGTTAAAGCGTTATTTTATGTACAAGTAGTAAATTCCTGCTAGACATTCCTTTTGTGTCAGCTGCAGGATCGTCAGCTGGTACCACAATGCACTGATGTTTTGCCCCCTACTCAGTACACCTCAGTGGGGGGGGTAGGGGCAGTGGCTTAAGGAGATGTCTCCCCGCCACCCCCTGCAGCTGCCCTTAATGGAGTACCACACCCCAATTCTTGTCCCTTCTCTGTAGCCACATCCAATAACTTGCCTTCTCCGCCAGCTCCTTAGGCCATACTCACACTATGTACAGTTGCCTTGAACCGGGCCAAAGCACGCTTGTCCCCCCTCCCGTCTCCCCAGACGGCCCGCACTCGCACTATAATCGGGCCATGGCACGCTTACGTCATCGATGCTGCGCTGTTTAGTAAGCGCTCTCGCTCAGCACAGAAGAGGTTTCTCTAGTTATATCGTTTCAGTTGTTTGATATGCAGTGACATGCAGTCAAATATTTCGCCAAACAGTCCTCAGGGATGCAGTGACACGGAGTCAGATATTTCGCCAAACAGATCCGCCACTTTCGGCACTTATAAACAATCATAAAGCCCTCATACTGCAGGAATGAGGAGGTTTGCTGAAGGTGCGCAGCTGTCGTGCAGTGAGGGGTTTGTGTATTTAATAAACTAAGGCAGTTTGTGTTTATTGAACAGTAAGATTGATAAATAAATCCATATGAAGCAGTCCCTTAAAAGTCACATCTCGCATTCAGTTTCGGGCTTTGGTGTGTTTTGCAAGTGAAAAGCCCAAGTGAACCGCGCTCAGGCACACCTCTTCCAACCGGGCCAAGGTCAGCCAAGTGAATTGGCTTGAGCCCGATTCAGCGCACTCACACTTCTCAAACGATCCGGGAAACGGGCCTGGGCACGGTACAGATGGCATAGTGCGAGTAGGCCCTTAATTGCTCTCCTCAGACTCATCCCAGATGCCCCAGTAGCATGGAGAAGATGATATACTGACTTTCCAACTAATCCCCTGCACCCAACTTCTATGGGATGTACCGTCGCCGTCCAACCCTCGAATCTACATTCAGCTGCCACTGCTGACCAAATCACTGCATCTGCTCTTAGTGTTGTTTAGCTTGGTCTCAGTTGAAAAGATGATTTGAGAGTCCAAGTCAATGCACATCTCCCACCCTGTTCCAGGTGCAAGCAGGCACCTTGTTGTCACTGTACCTGTAGTCAGTCCCCTTCTCCTGGAACTTGTTGTTAGGCCGAGGAGATGCTGATGTACTGTTTACTTGTACTCTGCATTTTTTCCAGATGCTTTTTTAGCAGCTGGTTGTGTCATCATTGAAAGCGGCCCTGCCATCAAGACAGGATATGTTGCAGGTCTGCATTGGCTCTATCGCACAGGGGGCATTTGTCCTCAGTTCCGAACCATTGCTAAAGATTACGAGGGCAGGGGAGGGTATTGTATGCTGCTTTTACGAGGAAAGTCAGCTGTGACCGTGGAGTTTGGCTAATATCTGGCCTGGCTATGGCCCTGTTAATCATGTCCTCCCAGCGGGTCCATGCTCCTTACTTGCCCTGGACAACAGCCTTTATGAAATGGCAGTCCTGTTCCACCGCCATAAACTTCATCTGCTCCCTTGTGGCTTTGGACCGAAACTGTGATGGGACTCCCCAAATCATCCCTGCTCTGCTGGTTTGAACTCTTCCCATTATCTCCTTGTGCTGAAGCCTGTCAATGGCTTGGTTGACCTCCTGCTGCATCCTCCACTTGTGCCCCGTGCGGCTACTTTTGGATTCAATTCATTGACTTTACTTTAAAAATGAGAGTAAACTCGTTGCCATATAATTATTAAGAAAACAAACTATGTGTATAATTATAAAAGTTGAGTCAATAGATTTACTGACTTTTAAATAACATCAACTTGTAATCGTCAAGGCAACGGATTTACTCACTTTTTTTTTACAATGTGCATGAGCATTGACATTGACAAGTCATAATGATACCTCAGCCAATAATTAGCTAATAATTGTTTAAAGCAGATCATTGGAAGTTGAAGTACATTACTATGACTATTGTGGTAATTAACATGAATTTACATCATTAGTTAAAAAGTATATGTTAGTAGTAAATTAATGTATTAAAGATCATTTAACTAATACCAATTTATACAATGCACAAGTATGAAGTATATGCTCATGCAGCAATAATTAATAAATGGTTAAGCTCTTCATGAGTTACACATCATGATTATCTGTGCCCACAATGTAAAGTGCCACCATATTTTTTCTCTGTGGAATTATAACAACTACTAAACAGCATTTTGCCATAAAGAGTTCCATAAGCTAATCTTATTAAAAACTTGTGCTTTAACAGGGGACAATTATCATCCCGTATCTGTCATCTTCTCTTAGAGAAGAAAGTCAGTGGAAGTTTCCACATGAGTTCAACCCTCAAAACTTCTTGAATGAAAAAGGAGAATTTGTGAAGAATGATGCATTCATGCCTTTCTCTGCAGGTGTGTGCTACATATATCTTACTGGACAAAATAACTAGTATTTTCATAAATTAATGTGCTTGTATTGTGTTTTTGTTTGTATGATGCGCATATATTTTCCTATTCTCTAGGTCCTCGTGTGTGCTTAGGAGAAAATCTAGCCCGCATGGAGCTCTTCCTCATTCTGGTCACTGTGCTGCGGAAATTTCGTCTGGTCTGGCCGAAGGATGCAGGAGAACCGGACTTCACATATATATATGGAGGGACTCAGTCATTGAAACCTTACCCTATGATTGTAGAGCTGCGGACGCCTGGAGAGACCCATGAATATGCTAACTGAACATATTTGTGTCACACTGTAAACTATCACGAAGTCGCATTTAAAGTACTATATTTAGTTAATAACGCACAAAACATTTTGGTTATAACGCACAATACACTAAAAATGTGCAAGACTATAACACGTAAACTCTGTATGATAACTTGTACTGACAATAAAAATACATTTGTTTATGTTGTTAAACTCATTTGTTTATTTGTTGAACAACTACAGCAAAATGCAATTATTTCTATCATATTTGACAATCTACATTTAATATAACTAGTTATAATGCTAGTCACTTGGAATTAACCAACCCAACCCAAAAATTACCAGTCTGTCAGATAAAGAAGAGCCGAGATTCAGAGTCAGAGTCAATAAAAGAATGTATACTGAAGATTTTCATCAAGCAGAAGCCAGCTTTAACACCTTCAAAGAGATCATAGGCCACTCTCCTTACAATCTCAAAACAACAATTATACTGTAATGTGTCACTAACTTATAGACCCTTTAACCTTGGTAAATTACAGTTAGAACTTTTTCAAAGATGAATGCAGAGGTGGGCTCATATTGGTTTTCAGGATAGGCTATGACAGGAGTCACGGCCCAGACAGCCACTATTTACAGCTTTGTTTGCTTTCCTGCATTAAGACCCTGCATGTTTTCTTTCTTTTTATTAATAAAAAGTCATTGCCACTCTCTGATTTAAAATGACGAAATAACTTAATTCAAAAATTACTTTATACATTATACATTTTTATATTTTCTGTGTCGTTTAGTGTGGTTTATGTATGAATCAATTTCGAGAGCATCATGTACTTATGATTGATCATGGCTGGTCCAGCATTAGTTAACATAACTGTCTCGATTTAAAAGGTCATTTACAATGACTAAATGTTGTTCAGGTAAGCTGAACTAACGTGTAGCTTTTAGCTTTGCTAAATTCTTTATTGAGAATTACAAAAATATCGTCAGGCTTAGACTTAGACTAGTGTTATTAATATAGATTCTCAAGTCACTGTCCATTAAATAAAATGGTTTATAATAAAACAAAAACTCCCCCATGGTGAAAGACAAAGTGACTTCTTGTGATAAACCAGAGACCAGGAGCAAAGTCCAAAAACAGCTGATTATTTTTAGACAATAAATGTGGGCCCACATTGACTGCACCAATCACATTTTAGATTTAGATTTATTAGTGAAATGTTCTCGCTCTGAAAAAAATTTCTGTCAGGATGTTTTGTTGTTTGGTCACTGAAATATTCATGCTGCCAAAAAAAATATGTAAATGCAGCACAAATTGGCAGTAATAAAAAAACAAGATTACAGGACAAAATAAACCTTCAGGAATATCTTTATCAAGAGTGCATTCTGGCATCGACCTATAGTGAAAGTATCATTATCTCTCCACCACAAAACTTAGCGTACATTTCCACTGTACAATCTACATTTCTTGTTCAACAAAGTTTATAAAGGTCAGCAAAGTTTAAAGGAGGAGTTTTGTGTTCATGCGTATCAGTTCTCTGTTTGTATTAAATACCAGAGTTCAGTCTGACCATCTAGAAGAGTAAGCATGTTGACTGCACTGGTTTTGTTGTGTCTAGGAGCCTTTCTTCTGTACTTGCAGCTGAGAATTCGGCGACCCAGAAACTTTCCTCCTGGACCTGCACCTGTTCCAATCTTTGGCAATTTGCTACAACTGAACCACATAAACCCAATTAAAGACTTAGACAAGGTAAGTGCATCAGAGCACCTCAAACACAATGAAAACTACAGAATTTAAAATAAGAAATGCATCCAAATATCCAAGCTTTTCTGCAGTTTGCTCAGCACTATGGATCAATCTATGGGATATACATTGGTTCAAAGCCAGCAGTGGTGTTAACAGGACAGAAAATGATTAAGGAGGCACTGATCACACAAGGGGCTGAGTTTGCCGGCAGATCAAATAAGATGATGGTCAGTCATGTAACAAGAAGCAAAGGTAATGCAGATGGAAAGCAGCAGTTACACTCACACATTTGCACTGAAGAATTTTAACAAATGTATATTAACAAACTTCCACTGCTGGGATTTGATGGCTTTCAAATGATATTTTTTGTGAGTTTAGGGGTGATCATGGCAGATTATGGAGAAAGTTGGCGTGAACATCGTCGCTTTGCTCTGACCACACTGAGGAACTTCGGCCTAGGAAAGAAAAGTATGGAGCAGAGGATTCTGGAGGAGGTCAAACATATCTGTTTACTACTGGAGGAATCTGCTGGTACATGAGACACCTTTAATATTTATATATTTGAAACATTTATACAAGTATTATATATATGAACATGTAGATTAAAATTACAATCTTTTGTATTCCTTTTATTTAGGAAAGCCAATTGACCCTCAGCATCTATATCACCAAGCTGCCTCAAACATCATTGCCTCAATCATTTTTAGGTCACGATTCGATTATCAGGATGAATATTTTCAGACATTGATCACAACCATGGAAAAACTTACTAAAATTGCCATTGGTCCATGGGCAATGGTAAATACAATAAAAATATATACTATATACTTCACCGTTTACTCTAAATACTTTGTCTTGAGTAAGCATATTACTTCTACAAATAAACAAGATGCTATTTATAATCTTATTTACACTTATTTTCTTTTTTACACTAAGTGTAAATAATCACTTCTAACAATAAATAGTAAATAAGTTGCAGAATGTACGATGTTAGAAGCTGTACTGCCAACTATTTTATTAACACACAATTATTTTATCTTGAACTGCAGCTCTATGAAATAGCACCAGTGTTGAGGATTTTCCCACTGCCATTCCATAAAGCTTTTCAGTATTTTGAGCAAATCACAAATCATGTTCTTAAAGTTGTGGAGGAGCACAAGACGTCACGTGTTGCTGGGGAGCCCAGAGACTTGATTGACTGTTACTTGGAGGAGATGAACAGGGTAAGACACCCAAGTTTCTCAGGTGTGTGTTATCATATAGAAAGTTGCATGTGAGTTTAATGTCCTTTGAGTTACAATGGTTCGGGAGTAAAAGTCTTCTGTTTTTATAGAGATCAGATAAACACACCACATTTGATGAGTCGCAGATGGTCACTTTGCTGTTTGACCTGTTTATTGCTGGAACTGAAACAACCTCTAACACACTCCGCACTTTAACTCTCTATTTGATGACTTACACTCATATACAAGGTAAGGAAAATCAAACCATATGATCTCTATGATTCATTTTGATACAGTTTATAAATATGAGCATGCTGGTAAATTGCTGTGCATAAAAACTTGTATATTTATAGTATACTTCAAGTTTTTGTATATCAATATATGTAAATTAATGTATGATAATTAATGGAAAATCTATGAAACCTGTACCGGGTCCGGAGTGACATGTAAAGGCCTGTGGTGTGCCAATACTCCTTAATAAGGTACCATTTCAAAGCTTAGAATCTCAAATTTCTACATCCCTGCATTTTTTCATCATTTAGACATTTATGTAAAAAAATTGTAATTAAAAATGTGTATCTAGTATTAAACAAAACTGCAGTTTTCTGGAGCACACTTGGCCTGAGTTATATACTTTTACAAAACGGTTATATAAAAAAAAAAAGCACCTAGTATTAAGTTGGCTCATTTTAGGGCAGAAAGTATTAGGGCAGAAAATATTAGACGCCAATATTTGAAAGCTTACAATCTGTTTTATGCTGATATTCATCATCAAAATTTCAATTATTTACACTTAATTTACACATTCCACTCTCAAAAAGGCCATTTCAATATTTAAATTAGGATAACTCTTTTTTTTCAACTATTTTAGTCTGCTGCTGTCATCTAGTATCAAACAAAACAAATGTGCAGTTATCTACTGCACACAGAGCCTAGGTTACACACTTTCAAATAGAGGCTTTTGAACAAAACCAAAAAGAGATGAGTTTTTAGGTGGCTCAAACATGTACAATATAATTTATCACTTCAGCAGTATGTAACTTCAAAGGGGTTTCTGTTAAATGACCCTGAGATTTTGAATTTATAGCACTGTATGGAGGTATGGCAGTCAGATATTATATTTAAAAATCTTTATTACACGTTCCTTCGGATGGAATAGAATTTCATAGAACATGAACATCTTGCATAGAACCTTCATCTGTCTGCTGACATCTGCTGGAATCAAACACAATTTGAGCACATTGAGCATAAATTTAAGTTTCTGAAAAAAGGTAACGCTTTACAATAACAGTACATAAATAATGATGTGTTAATATGTAAACTAAACGTTACTTTATTATGAACTAATGATGAGTTAATGTGTGTGCTAATCAAGAGCTAACCTTAACTACAACATGAGTCACATGAGTTCATGTGTGAATAACGGCTACCTTAATTACTTGTTAGTACATGATTGTTTGTTAACTTCTTAGACTCAACAACTATTTGAAGTTTTTCCACCTGGATTTTTCAACCCAAATTAAAAAGCTTTCCATACCCACATACAGAGGTGTAACTGCAAAATGTTGGTGTAATTTTACAAGAAACCTTTTGAAATGACATAAAGCAGTGTTAAAAGTGCTAAAAATTCCCAGCAAAAAAATAGGCATTTATAATAACAGTACATGAATAAAGATGTATTTATGTGTAAACTAAACATTACTTTATTATGAACTAATGATCAGTTAATGTATACGCTAATCATAAACTAACTTTGAATACAACATAGTCAGAAGAGCTCATGTGTGAATAACGGTGTAATTGTGTAATTACTTGCTAGTACATGTAATATGCTAGTACATTAATGTATTAATTAGCTAGTACATTAATGTATAAATTAGCGTTTATGTTTAAGCTAAGTGTAACCAACATGAACTCATGAGATGTTAATATATAATTATGTTGGGAATTTACTTGGAGGGGCACACTATCATTAAGTCATCCTTAACTACTCATGAACTCCTGTGTTTAAACTGTTGATGTTGACAGAACAATTTTCTATTGTTATTCAGTGTAAAGATGGACGTGCATATGGAGATCATGAGTAGCTAAGAATGGGTTAATGATGATGTGCCCCTCCAAGTAAAGTCATGGCATAATTATATATTACCAGTTCATGATGGATAAATTAAGCATGATCTAATGGGGTATTTAATACATTAATTAACATCTTCCCGAATTATATTTATTAAACTCCTATAGCAATTGTT